ATTAAATTTATAATAAACCTTGAAGGAACAGTTTTTGTTTAGATTGTGAAGATTTAAGCACATAGAATTAATTCAGTTTATTGTTTACTGTAAAGAAAATAATTTAGTTAAATCTTTATAATTTTTTATCTATTTAAAATAAATTTATTTCATTTAGAAAATAGTTTTGAAAGTTGACATACCAAGCTAGTTGCATGTTAATTTATTATTCTATGAATGTCACAAGATTATTTTCAAAAACTATTTATTCAAAAAATAAAAATTAAATAAAATTAATAAAAATATATATCTTAATGAACTATCTTATATTATATTAACTAGATAATGTTATTGCTTAAACAAGAATATTGTATATCATGAAAAATAATTTAACTTTACATAATACAGTGCGTCCAAATCGCATACCAAAAGAATAAACATAAATCGGAATGTCCAAATTGCATGCCTCTTCTTGAAAAGATCTGTCCAAATTGCATGTCATGTACCAACGAGTTTATTTTTAATTATAATGCTTTTATCATGTGCATAACTTAAACTTTATTTTTGGTTTTTTATTTAAAAAAAAAAAAACGCACGAATAGACACTGATTAGTTTTAATATTGAAATATTTTTATATCTGAGTAAACATTTTACCAAATTATAAAAGATGACGCTGTGAGTATTAAATAAAACGATTGTAGTTTAAGGTAATCAAGTGAATGTATTTTACAATTTTACATGTCATTTCAAATAAATAATAATATTATAAAATTTTGTGGAATTTTTGACATTATAAAATATAGTATATAATATATATATATACTATATAATATAGTATATAAAAAAAAAAATTAAAAAAGTCAAAAATAAAGTTTAAGTTGTACACATAAGTAAATGATAAATAAAGATAAACTTGTGGATACGTGGAATACAATTTGGGAATACCACTCTAAGAGGTGGCATGCAATTCGGTTGCAGCCACACAATAATATTATACATTCAGTTTTTATGTTTTACCTTCAGGTACCTTCTACTTGTTTTTTAAACAATACATTATTAAATGCATAATCAAATAAGCGTATTATGCAGGCATTTGTATAATAAATAAATAAAAAAACTAACATTTTAGTACTTCCGGTCAAAATAATATTTTTAGATTGTTTGTAGCTTACAAAAGTCAGTGAAAATTTTGAAGTAGTTTTTTTTTACACATATTGTTCAATTCGATGTACAGCAAAACCATAGCCATTCGAACGGGCAAGAATTATTATCCAGTCGGACCCATTGCCCGTTGTTACTTCACAGTCGGAAGCGTCTGAAATAGATAACGTCGTCCCCCAGGTCACGGATAGAGGAGAGCCCTACATGCTGGGCAGTCGCGAATAAGGGATAAGCGACCGCCGAGCCAGTTACGTGCAACAATAATAATTGATTGACCGTCCAAAGACGGAAGGTTCTTTGGCTCGGAGTGGTCGGCATTGATAGGTTACACCGAAGCGAACGTTGGCGGTTTCGATGTCAGCTTTCCCCTTTACTGTTCAGTTAGTTCGCACGCTGGGCTGCTGAGCGTCCAAGTGTGTGTCAGCCTCACTCCTCGCACGTTTCCGGGACCTAGCAATGAGTGCGTGGACCGCACTTCTGGAAGCTCGTCTGGCCGCGAATCTTTTATTGTCGGTTAGGTTAGAGCCGTGTTCTACCGTTAACAGTTGCGAAAGGGTCGGCGGTTGAGCACATGGGCCGTGTCACGCCACGTGGCGCGATTTCCTCCTTTGCAAACGAACCTCCGTTCGTGCGGACTTGTGGTTTTCACTTAAAGAGCCAGTGATACCGTAATTGGGGATTCCCGTGACCCTTTTTGGGCTAGTAGGGTACGCCGGAAACGGCTAGCACGGCGTCCGTGGGTTATTTGTCGTCGCACGGTCGTTAGTCAGTCGTGTACCCTCGCGGCTCGTGACTAGAGCACATCGCTGACAGCCCGCGTGTCACATTTTATTCAAATAGTTTAACAAAAATGCAAATAAGAAAATAATTATTCTGACTACATTATTTTAATCATATCAATGATATTTTGAGCAAGATAAATACTGACTATCGGTCCATAAAATCTTAGTAGGTATTTAATAACAATTTGGATTTCGTAGGAATCGCTTTATTTTGTATATTATTCAATTACAAAATTCCAATTGGGTAATTAATTTAATTAATTTTGTGTAAAATAAAAATACACGAAATTTTGTTTTGGTTGTTTGCTTTAATTTTTTTTTTTTTTTGAATATTAACTTTATAACTTCTTTTTGTTATTGATGGATTATTTTTTATAAAATAGGTCCCAAATTATCTCGTACTTTAAATATCATAATTTTCATATCATACCTATTATATAGTACTGTTACTTTAATTTTTTTATTTTGATGTAGAACTAATTTTATAATTTAATAATTTAATTAATTGTAATGTGTAACTACTAACTATCGTTATTGACTTATAATTTGACCATACGTATTATTATTAAATTCAAATTTATTTACTTTTATATAAAAAAATAATTAAATAATGAAAATCCGAATAAAATAATAAAAATTACATATATTTGAATTGAAATATTGTAACTTATTTAGTTGACCTATAGAAAGTACACAAAAAAAAAAAAAAAACATTTTTTTTTTTTTTTCATTTAAATAATTTTAAATTATTACCTTTATTTTTCAGTTTAATTAAAACGAACGATTATAATATTTATTTATCCATAACAAAGCTCTTGTGTAATTTGTGATTTTAAGTATTGTTATGCATTCAAAGAAAATAATATTTATAAGATTTTTTTTTATTTGGTGTTAATAACTCTTTATTAATAGTAGTGTGTACATTTCCAGAAAAACACTACTTATTTGTATAGATTATTAATTATATTAATTTATTTAAATAACTCGATTACATATTATTAACTATTATTATATTTTCTGTGTATTTATAATACGTTTATATAATAAAGTTTTCAATTTTGTAAAACTTTTAAATTAATGACTTGTTTTTTTTTTTTTTTTTTTACTATTATTGTATTCAAAACAAGCAATGATTCAAATTAGATAAAAGTTTCATAAACAACTTACCAGCCTATTATTCTGCATCTTGTGGGTGACACTTTAACAGCCGGTATAATCGATTCATGATTATTAATCGGATAGAATACGTTTTGAAACTTTAGTCGTCAAACACATTGATGTTCAAACTTTAATTAGATGTATTACGCTTTGTCAATTTATCATAGTCAAAAAGCTGTATTAAAGGTGTTGAATTGCTTTGATGTTTTACCTATTAACGATTCACATCAACTTCTGTTTTATGTCATAACTATATTCGTTATACATATTATGTATTAATCTGGTGAATGTTTAATACGAATGCAGTGTAATGTGCTATTGACACCTGTGTTCCATTTTTTATACTGATAATGTTTGTATCAAAATATATAATTAATAATAAAGCAAAGTGAATAGCACTTGACAATATTTCACTATTTCTACTCGAATACCCTAACGGGCCTAACGTTTAGTGTCACATGATTTTTATTACATACTATAATGTAATATACTACACGAGTTTTACAATTTTCACTGACAAATTCACATAAATCATAAATAATAAAAACATTTTAGTTTAAGAAAACGTAGTATAACTAGTAAATAATCTATTTAAATATTTGTCTTGTTACCAATAGAATTTTATTCTTGATTTGTCTTTAGTTAGGATATAGCACACGATTTTCTGATTCAGTTTAATTCTCTCTATACCTATATATTTTCATGTTTGTTATCCAGTGAAAACAAAGAAATGAAATTTTTGTTCAGATTTAAATCGTTTCTTCGGCTACTAAAAATTAACATTTTTCATCTACCGTGTACTTCAAGTTTCAATACACTTTGAAACAACCAATACTCACGTTATTAATAATAATCATAATATTCATAATCAATGACCAGAATGACGTAATGAAATTAGTAGTCGTGTAGTGCTTTTAATTTTTTAATCGTTGTATCTTTACTATTGAATGTGATTATAATAAAATGTGTAGAGTATGCAGTTCTATTTTTCCACGTCCAAACTATCAAAATAGGATCACTTTAATTAAAGTTTTAATGGCCAGCACATATCGCATTAGGTTTTTAATTCACGGGTGATTCCGCAGTTTTTGGTATAAATAATATTTCTCTATTATACAAAAAGTTTTTTTATTTTATCTTCTAAATAATATAATTTTCACGACAATCAATAATTAACTAAATAATAACGGTTATTAATTAATACTTACAACTTTCTATTGTTTGAAAACAGTTTTGTATATTTTATTTTTTAATAACAGATATTAATTTTCAAAGTGCAAAGGGGGTATTTTTTACGTCAAGGTGGCTGTGCCTTCAGGTAGGTCTGTAAGCCAAGCGTTTTGTGGACAATACGCCCTAGTTAATAACTACCAGTTATATATTATATTATTTTATATTAACAAAAATGTAGTTGGTATTCGGATCATAAAAAATCATCATCTCATCATCGATTTAAATTGTCCTGTAAATTTAATTAAGGTGTATTGATATACAAAAAAAAATTATCTAACAAAGTGTGATTTTTTAACAGTTATACACCAATACAGTTATCTAATATAAAGAAATTAAAACAGATGGCAGGCTGAAAATTAAACAATACTTTATACTCCGTTGTTTATAAATACATTGTTGTATTTATTTGAAAACGAAGACAGTATAGCTAAATAAAAAATAAAAATTAGCTACTTACTAGGTACCTCTGTTAAATTTTTATACATTTTAAGTTATAACCAATTACACTTCGAAATGATTTTTTAATGTTGATATTTCAAACAAAATCTTATATAGATATGGCTAAATATGAAGAAATATTTTTTTTTATTTAACACAACTACTATAAGTTTGTTGGTGGAATCAAACAATGAACTCACCACTCATCAATATCTACTAAAAATAACGATAACGATATAACGATAAAATAAAAGGTTAATGATAACATATTATTTTATTTTAATATAATTATTATTTTTAGTCTAAATTTTGATTGGAGTTCAGCAATTTCACAGACATGATTTAGTAATTAAAATATTCTTTATAGTAATTTGAATTTTGTACATAGCGTGGATAGACTTCATAAGGGTGAATGGCTTTTGAGTAGTAGGATTCCTGATATTCCGGTGCAGTGATTGAAAAATCTTCTTGTACATTCTTTGGGAAAGCTAAAATGAAAAAAAAATGTATGATTAAAAATGTACTAGAATCTATCAGGCATTACATTTTTATTCATGATAATATTCCTTCGATGTATGGTAGAAATGTTAATATTAAAAAAATACATTGTTAACTATTATTGCATGAGTAGGTTATACTCATAGTGTTATTGCATTGTTATTTAATACTTTATTACTGCCGAAGTAGTAATAAAGAGTCATTTTCTCCGTATGATCAACATTTTAATTTTGCTTCAAAGCGTTGAACATTTTATATTATAAGTCAGAATTTACCTTAAATGCGTACATTTAACTAAATATGATAAATTTTGATATAATTGTGTTTATACGAATACATTAAACGTACATTCAAAATACGAAATTATATATTTTAGTTTTGGCGATAAAGCCTATTTTGATTAAAATATAGTTTATTCTGGTTTTAATATTTTATTGAACATAGTATATAAATTTAAGTACCGTTATAATAAACAGTTTATAGCTAGCTAATGTTTTATTATCTACTAATCGCTTATATGGATGACATTTACATTACACACATTGTTTAAATTTCGTATAGCATAGGTGTCTAGTGTTTACCTTATTTTTGTCTGAAATACAACTTATGATTCAATTTTAAAACTTTAACGTTAATATTTTTTGAATTTTAATAAAATATATGTGATGTTTCTGAAAAAGTAAATTTAACATAAAAACTATTTATATGAAACGCAGTTTCCAGCTTCCGTTCAAAATTATTTTTTAAATCTGTATACGATGATTTATTGTTGATTAAATATTTAATACGTCCATTATAATAATTTACTTAATGATGATTTACTATAAAGCAAATCAACTTTTCTTACATATATTTTTTTTTTGAGTACTGGGAATTTTATACTTTTGATCCTTCAAAGTACCAATTAGATCAAATTTTTCATTAAAAAGAACCCTTAAAGTTGAAGATTGGACTATTTTTCTTCTTCTAAACTTTTATTTTAATAAATGGTTGGCATGCATTTGCATAGTTGACCCCATATTAGTTTTAACCATCGATTATAAATGTAGTATTATAGTAAAATAATAATAATAAATGTTGTCGAAAATCATGTAAAAAAAGAAAGTAGAAGTGAATGGTTTAACGCATAGTATAACTATATTATTCGTTTAGGTACGTGTTGGTTTATTTATATATTTCATTGAAATTATTAAAGGCAATTTGTATAATAGGTACTCAAGTGCAAATAATTACGAAGGCGTTAAATATAGGCAAATACTTAAGCATTTAATAATTTCCACAATAAAATTGAATTTAACACTGTTTCACGGCGTTTGTAGAAATTAATATTTGTCTTAGTGTCGTGTTTAATTAAACTTATATAACAATATTATAATGGATTTCGTAATGAAGTTGTATAAGTTTAAAATAAAACACTCGTAAGTGTTTGGTGTACTAAACATGTAAAGAAAATCATACTATAACATGATCGTTTTACAATCGAATAATTGGTTTCAAGTTTCAATTCAACAAACTTATTTAATTATACGCCTGTGAAAAATGTCACCAAATATTATAGTAATTAATATTTGATTTGTATAATCTAAATACAGTATGGTTTTAAATTCAAGTTCACTAAAATGGTAAATTATCTATAAACATTTCATCCAGATGAACACATGTACCTATAATAATTATACCTACTACCTATATAGTTAGTTAAATTGTAAGTTTTTGTACAAAAATATATTTTTTTTACGGCGTATTTTCTGTAGAGTTAAAAATTTTTCCATAATTTTATTATTGGAATTTCGATATTAGTAACCGCATATTCTTCAATATGATGAAAAAGTTATAGTCAAAGCTCAAAAGAACCATTATTTACTTCTTATCGTATTTCATATTCACAAACTGATTTCTTATGGTAACGTGAACACAATTTTGCATACCTACATTTCTACCCCGTTTTATTTGTATATATACATACTGTTGTGCTGCAGTTGATAATCAAATTTGCAAGACCTTTTGAAAAAAAAAATGGGTGATTTGGAGTTTAGGGTAAACCACTAGAACGAGTTCATTTAAATTTAAAACAATTTTATTTAAATATAGAAATCACTGAATTCAAAATACAAGCACGAGTATATTTTTTTTTGATCACATGACCTGATAATATTAATAATATTATGCCCAAAATGAGTGTTTGTTTATGGTTTTTTAATTTTCTAATAAGCTAATTGTAATAAATTTTATTTTTAATAACATATTTTTCTAACCAATATATATATATATTAATGATTCATAATATTATTTATTTGAAACTCTGTCTCATCTAAGACCAATATGTGAATGATGTGCAATCTTTATATTACATTGTAATCAGTTTATCGAACATACTATATACATATATACTTTATATAGAAACATATTTGGAAACAATTTACGAATTAAATATTGTGTTTTTGCATTAAGTATTAAAAATCAATGGCGTATTAAGCGTAATGTATATCAAACTAGTAATACCAAATATTTTCAAGGAATAAGTTAATAATTAATTGGTACCACAAAAAAAAATAAAGTTTTTGTTTTGCTTAAGTTTTAAATATTAATAAATATTTATTAAATTATAAAAACTAAAATTGTTAAATTTATAAATTCTATTAATACAATACATTTATAAGTAAATATAATCATAAAACACTCTCGAATCTTTTGAGCATTAATGAATTAAAATTCAAAGCTATGTTTTTAACTTATGAAACATATTAAACATTTACCTGTATTTTCTCCACTAAGCTCAAGCACGTATAAACCTTATATAATATAGTACTAACTAGTATGTATAGTTTAGGCGCACGTGAGTACACGATGTGTGTGCAATACATCTTTGATTTCATTTTAATACATATAATGCACCAAATAGTTGCTAAGAAACGACTTTACGTAATTTGAAGCGAATCTCGTTCTGATTTTAGTTCGATATGTGGTGGACTGATGCTGATGAAAATAATGAATATGGACGTTATAAAAGAAAAGACCAGAAATGATTTAAAAGTGTTTTTGTTTATTCAAAAAAAAAAAAAAAATCTATAGAGATATGATGCTTGCGCGTACTCGTATCTAAAAGAGTAGTTTATACACGTTGAATCCGGAATAGATTTTCTATTTTTTTTTTTTTTATTAAAAATGTCATATTCACGTTTTGTTGATTAACTAAATGGTAAGAATGACTGAGGAATTATAATAATACTTTTTTTCAGCTATGCATATAATATTTTTTCGAAAAAAAAATGCACCAAAAGTAAACACTGAAATATCTTAATTTAATATAATAGTACCTAGAAATCTTTGTGGCTGTACGAGTATTATCATATCATTATGTAATTATATTAATAGTAGGGTTGTTGACAGAACTATAATTAAATGCTTGTAATCAGACAACTTTCACAATGCACTCGTTATCGAACCGCTTTTAAGTTGAAAGGTGTCAAAGTATCTATCATTATAAATAAAACGTGGTCAGAAGTGTTCATGGTAGTGAATACGATTGCAAAGGATAATGGATATAACAAAAAACAGGAAAAAATAAAAGATCGTGGTTCAATTTTAATACGACATGGCAAAATAAAAAATATATACGAGTTTTGATTGAATGGAACCAAACAAAATAAATTATTATTATTTTTATGATATAAGTGAATATAATATTACATATTATTATATAGTTAATAGTAGTATATGTATTATAATGCAACTCTAATATATATCATATACACCTAATATATTTGACATTTTAGAATATGTAAATTTTTATTGGTTTTCTATTAACAAAAATAAGTCGTGTTTAATATAATATAACTATACGACTATACAAGTATTATAATTCATTTTTAAAATCTTAATTTATATAAGTTGAACGAATGTAAAATTGGTGCCCTTGGCGTCTACATGACAATATAATTTTAATATTATCGAATGTAGTTTATTGATGATAAATATTATAATGATATCTGATATTGAAATGTTATGAGGGAATTTCGAGTACATAAAATATAAAACATCAAGCTATAATGTTATGTAATTATTGATTTATACTACTTTTCAAAATATTTTTCACAAACTATTATTTATGATTTATTATTATTTCACTTCTTTTAGAATCCAAATGCCGATTTCTATTAATTTATATAAAAATTACAACTGAAAAAAAAATTTTATCAATAAAAAACATCTAGTTTGAAGCTTGCATACTTATAGAACTTTGTACATTCATAGGATATAATTTACTTAATTATTATTTATAAGAATATAAACGAATGTATAAAATATAATCATTGGATAAATATCTCAGGGGACTCATAGAACGTAATTTAATTATGATTTTGAATATATTATGATGATGTGATATAATAGTATGTATTATATAACGATATAAAAATTATTAACTATTATAGTTGTATTATCAACACGCGAACAGTTTATATTAGTCATTTAGTTAATCATGGTGCAAGATTTATTGATAGAAAATTATATTTTATAAATTCTTATAAACTACCATAAAAACGAAAATCATAATATGAGAAAATGTATTACTAAAATATATAAATGCTATATTGTAAATATTTTAATTATTGTAAAAAAGTAGACCGTTTATTAATTATTGTTGTTAATAATTATTATAAATGCATGTAGGTCATATTTTATCAATAATCAGAAATATGAAAATTTGATCTGTTTTATTAATAAAACTATATTTATGGTTTCAGAGGGAACCTCGATTGAAATTTTTGATTCCCAGACCAGAAAACAATAGTCTACATGGTTTATGTTGTATGCCAAACCTAAAGTTCAACCCAATTAAGAAAGCTTAACACAAATATCGTATAACAATAAATTGTGGTTGATGGTTAAATACAATTAAATACCTACGAATAATAGGTACTTCTTCAAGTTTTTATTAAGGACTAGAATTTATAGTAAGTATAAATAATAATTTTTATAATCAAAGTTTACCACTACAGATTAATCTACAATGCGATCTATAATGGATTATAATGGATTAATATTGTTTCAGTAGTTTATCCGTACTGAGTATCGAAAGATATGTAGAAATTTATCTGGAATACATTTTATAACAATTTATAGAAAAACAGAGCTTGAATAATTAATTAATTAATTACTATTTCATACTATATACTCGTAAATATAATTAAACTTTAAAATGTGTATTGGTCATCATGTATTTCTTTTGCTGTAACTCTCCCTAGGGTTTAGTGATAGTTATGTTTCTGTTTAAAATAAATATTGTACTTGATGAATTTATATTTTTCATTACGATTTAAATTCTTTCAAAAGATATTTTAATTAAACATCCTATCATTTAAATCATGATACAAAAACATAAATTTGCCGAGCTGTCTGTTCTAAATTAAATCTGTCAACTTAATAACAGTCAACAGTCATTTAATTTCGAAAGTTTAAAAATGTATAACTTAACGTATCCAGGTCTACAAGTAATAATGTAATATCAGGACCAGTAATTATAACTAAATATCAGATGGCAAGAACCGCACTATAAACTCATTACTACACGTACTAAAAATATCTCTATACTTATTACATACACTTGATATTTTGAAGCGTTACAGTGTTTCCTACTTATCTTTAAAATAAATAATAAAAATAAAAAAGTAGGTATTCAATAAAATCATTACACGATTATTGATTACAACTTTTCAATTAAGTTATAAATTCTATTAAAATGTCAATTCATAATAGGTTATTAAAATGTATTAGCTATTGAGGTGTGTAATTACTGATTACAATTTAAATAAACTCTTCAACTTGTGTTTTACATAGTGTAGCTAGTATTCTAAGTATAAATCCAAACAATGTAGACTTTTAGAATTACGAACTTCGTAAAATATCACGATAAACCAAACATCTTTGTTATAGTTCATTAAGGAATAATAATTGGCACAATTATCATTTGATTTGTCTATTTTATTTTTCAAGATATTAAATTAGTTATTATTAGGGCAGAAAAGTTATAGGATTTATATGTTTTATTCTGAGCCTCTATTTTATAACAAACAAAGATATAAATATAGATCATAAGCTCTACAGTTGAAATAATAAAAATTTTTTTGCATATTTTGAATATTTAAAAAAAAATGCATATTCCATGCATTTTCTACATATTTACACATTTTTGAGGTGAAAATTCCTCAATTTTTAATTAATTAAAAACTGTATATTAATTCTATGCCCATGTAGACTATGTACTTTCGTACTATCGTAGGTACCCACATATTTTAGGAGGGCATTCGGATAATGTTATTTTTATTATTATTACGAGTACATCGTAGTAATTGGCAATTAAGTTTTATATTAAATTTTATATCAACATTTATGTGTTCCATCAATAATCTTGTTAGTATGGTGTTAAGTGTCGTTCGATACACATTTCTTGCCCTTCGCGATGTTTTCCGTGTTTATGTTTTTCACTCAATAGTTCACATAATGCCAAAAATAAATGGAAGTATATTTTATAAGTATGTAAAACAATTTGGTGAAGATTAATTTCCTACCGATGGTACTATGCTCTATTGCAAAATTTGTGAAGTTAAAGTAAGTGCTGAAAAAGAAATATACAGTAACTCAACATATAAAAACAAATAAACACCAACGATTATTAGCTTGTCGAAATAAACCTGCAGAAAATAAACAACAATTTATATCACAGCCATTAAACAACAAAAAATCTGTTTTTTCATATGATTTATGCAAGGTTATGATGTGTGCAAATATTCCTTTACGTAAAATTTTTAATATTCAATTTCGATTGTTTCTTGAAAAATATACTCTTAATGGCATTCCTAATGTGTCTGCGTTGAAGAAAACTTACACAAATGATTGCTATTTAAAAACAATTGAAATTATTTGAAAAGACGTTGTTGGAAACAAAATATGGGTTTCTATAGACGAAACGACAGATGAACAGGAAAGATATTATATCAAACGTATAATAATCGGAACTCTGCTGAACGATAGACCCGGAAAAATACAATAACTAAACACTGAAGTTCAAAAAACAGCCAATTTTTCTACAATAACCAAACTCTTTGACAGCTCAATGTTTCTCCTGTGGCCCGATTGTGTTCGTCATGATGACGTACTCCTATTTTTAAGCGATGCTACACCATAATATATAAAGACTATATAATATAATGAAATAACTTATTATCATTGAGTATCAATGTTATTTTTAGTTTTTTATGATTTTATGGTATACAATTTCGAAGATGATGACTTTTTAATCATGTAATATTTTATATATATATATATTATCTAAATCGTAATAGATACAAGACTGCCTATTACATTCCAACTGGGAAATATTTAAAAACATCTATAGATAAGATCATATATGCGATTTTAAACATTTCAATGTTAAAATATTGCTGCTTACTTCAATAATATTCCGTTGTCAGCTAAATAGTTGTTTTATATGTCTATGTACATAATAATCACAGCACAGATCGTAAGATCAGCTCCCCCTAACGCGTGCACGTCTATGTTCATTAAACTAGTGTGCGTGTCATACGCCACTGTCGAACTCACTTATTGGTCCTCTGGCCGAGTGCGGATCATCCTCGAAGTCTATGGCAGCGGCGGCGGTGGCAGGCACGGCCCTGACAACGTTCCGTGGTTTCTTGGGCTTACCAGACTTGCTAACAACCGCGTTGAAACCGTTAACCGGGTCAGCTGTGTAGTCGACAGTTCGCACGGTGCCGTCGGGCTCCACAAGACTGTACTGGCCGCGAACCACGTCCCCAGTCCGCTCTTCAGATTGGTGTTTGATATCCCCCGTAGCGGGATCATGCACGCCGTACTTGAAGGCGTAGCTCGCTGGCACCTGCAGGTTAGGTTAGGTTAATAATATCATCCAATACATTAAATCGGTTGAATGACACAATGAAATTATTACAATTTTGGGGAACGAGAATGTACATTTTTTTCAACGGGTAGATACACAAGAGTTTTAATGACATGTTTTGTTCGCATACTTAGCAATCATATGTATTTAGTCGGTGCTTTGGACGAATGAGTCGTTTTTGAGTTTTTCGGAAAAGTGCTTAAGAATATAGAAGAATGGAACGAGTATAAGAACACGTGGTTGTATCAGAGCTTAAATACCAACAAAGTTAAATTGTTTTTTGAAAATGTAGTATCACATATTTTATAATAAATCCACTTTAATAGGCCAGTCAATTTTTACGTTAGCATTTTTTATTTCTACCGCAAAAGTGATTCATCTATTTGCACAATTCGTTATCCATCATATTTGGTCCTTATCCACCCTAAAGTATTAACGTAACGATATGAGTACAAATATAATAAGTCAAATCAAATATTTCAAAAAAAAAAAAAAAAAATTGTACACACATTTATACTTTTTAATAACATATTATCCACTCACCGCAAAACAAAAAAAAAGTATTTGTAAAAAAATGTAAACAGAAAATGAAGAAAGACTGTTGAAATACTTTTTATTTGAGTTTTTGTGGACATTTTAAAAATAGATATTAAACGATTTATAAATTAAATAACATTAATTAGAATGATTTTTAAAAAAAAAAAAAAATACATTGGTTCTGTAGTCACGTTGACAACTTTTTTTAGTTAATTTATTTACCAAGAAGTTAATTTGATCACAAAAGAAACATTTGTATTTTAAAACACTTCAAGTTTATAAAATACATTAAAGAAGTTCAATTCGTCGAAAAAGGCCAAAAAAACTGGAAAATGGTTGGTTTTTGATTACAACAATACACTATGTTATTCATCTTTTGCGGTTTGGCAGATTTTAGTTGATGAAAATTTTTTTCAGAAATCCACAGCCCCTATATTAATCAAATATTGCACCGTGTAACTTCTGGTTATTTACGATACAAAAACTTGAACTCAAAGGTAAACGTTTTACGACGATGAAGACATTAAAAGTAATGCGATGCCAAATTTCAGAGATATATCATAGGGATATCGAGTGAATATGGTTCAAGTGGTTATAAATTCGTTGGAGCAAATATGCTTGTGCTGAAGAACGACATTTTAGAGGATACTAGTTAATTTAAGTTCAAATCGTATATATATGAAGAAAAAAGCCGACATTTTTTTATCCTACACGTATACTACGAGTATAGTAATGACTTTTCCTCTGTGTTTATTATTCCTGGAAATCTTCATTAATCCTTAAATTAAATCAATTAAAATATAAATATATTTTTATTTAGGAAAAATGTCATAAATTATAAAAAACTCATGAAATAAATAAATAATAATTATATAGTTTACTTTGAGCTATAATAATCTAATTCGACTATTTCCATCACCGGTTAATATATAATTTTGAATTCTTACGTAATAATCAATATCTGGTCGACCTGGATATCTTGACCTCGACAATGATAGGCTTACCATTAATAATAAGCACGACAGCACCTGTAATTTTTTTTTAGTGTTATTTTCTTATTATTACTATACTTGCTATATTATAGTTTTATTCACGAATATTCAATATTTACGTTATTTTTAAAATCGTAAAGTGTTTGAAATAATAACAGTATAACAGTTATATATTAGTAAACCTTGTTTGTCTTCATTTTGAAGCTTTTTTTTTTTAATAATTGCTCATTTTTTAAAATATATAATAATAGTGTTTCTTTATTTTTTAGCTAAAATATCCATATAAGTAAACGTATTTTTTTTTTTATAGATACTTGTATACAATATAATATATATATAAAATTTTGCAAGTAATTTAAATAATACAAAACTATGAAATTAAATTGATCAATTATTACTAAAATCATCATAATTATGTAACGACTAATGAAATAATTTCTATAAATGTATTATATTATATCTATATTTTGTTTTTACAATAGTCAAAATGTATCTTTTTTTTAAGAATCTTGAAAAAGTTACTAAGTTTTAATTTCTAATTAGTATTATTTATAACACTGTGACGGAGTCTTAAATGAGGAGGATATTATATATTTTGTTTATAAAATATTCTTGTTTTGTTCAAATTCATAGTTTAAATATAACTTAATACATTAAAAAAAATATATAACGGTAAAAAATGTTGACCCTCTCTTCTCTATTAAACATGACGTACAAGAAATATAATTCTAAATGTATGTAAATAATATATATATAGTATTTTTATTTTTTAAATTTTAATATTACACGTATATATTATTAACTAAATCACGTTTCATAATACAATAATTAGTTGTTTAAAGGTTTATACACTCAGGCAATAATATAGGCAAATAAAATTACACGTAGGTATCTATTTAACATACCAAAACACGTCTGTTAAATAAAAATAAAAATTTATTCATGGGTGTAAAACTGTAAATAAAATAATACGAATATTTTTAATAAATAAAATACGATACATTTCATATATTTAAATTTTTTAACAATAATTAATTATTCAATATTACACACAAGTAATAAAGATAATAAAATCTTAACGTCGTCATTTTTAAATTATAGTTACCAATATTAAATGAACAAAACAAAAACAAAATTAGTAACATCATTTTAACGATTGTTTGTTTATTTATAAAAATATGGATATTAATGTACATTTAAATATTTATTATAAGAACATTATTCATTTTTCAACAATAATATACCATGAATATTTATCAAATGTAAAATGTACATTTATATAGATACAATAGATCAACAATATGTACTAAAGAGTAAAGATGAATAAAATTACTTTATTTATATGATTTAATCATTGAAAAATCTATGAATAAATAAATGTATTAATTAAAAATAACTAAAATACTCTAGGGTTAATAACATTAGAATAACAAAGTAAAATTTCAGTTTTGTACATATAAATATTATATTATTGATTTAATATTAAAATAGTGTAAACGATTTTAATTTCAAAAATAATGGTATACATACGATATAATTTAACCTAATATAGTAATACTATCAAAATATTATTTTTTTATTTGTGAGAAAATTTTAAGAAAAATTATAACCGTTTTCATAAAGAATGACATTTTTTTTTTTTTATGGAACATTGGTATTTAAGATATGACAACGAGATTTAAGGGTATATGCGAATATCAGGAATAGTATACTGAAAATTCGTTTGAAACGTCAACGTTGAGTTCAACATTTCTCATTGAAAAAAAATAATACTTAATGAGAAACATTTACGTTATTTTATAATCAGTTATTTATAACAAATACTTAAATAGAGGCCAATCATATTAAATTAATTATTATCATAAATTTAACTCACAATATTTTGTAATCTTTTCAGTGTATTTATTATAAAAGTTATCTGTAGTAAAACAGTAATTTTCAAACTCTTGATAATACATTGCAATTTTTAACGGTTTTGTGGAAGAAAATATGTTTAGAAATCGGTTTAACTCACAATGGAGTCACAAGGTCGACGAGTATGATTTATTTTGAGTTAAATTATTAATACCTAGTTCTGGTTTAGATTTTGTTCTGGATTAAGATAGAAGGCCATATGACGAAAAGGGACAATATAGAAGTGATAGATTATTTTTGAACTAAATGAATAGGTATAAACATGTTAATAAAATATTATAATAATACACGTGTTATATTCCATACGATTAGTGTTATTATTATTATTATATAAATATTTTTTTCTTTAACTATCGATATGGTTAACAATGTGCTAATCGACCATGTAAATATGTCTATAGTCTGAATATTTTTTGGGGATTTTTTTCAATAGATATAATATTTAGGCATATTGGACATTGTATATGAATAGTACGTATTATTATAGGTTTTAAAAATAGTTTGACATAAGATTGGTTATAAATGATTAAAACTTGTAACCACCTGGGAATTTTTGCAACAAACACACGACATGTCCTACCTAACCATAATCATAATCGTAACCATAATAATTGTCGAGATAAAAATAGTATATAGCTAAAATTTCTCTTAACATAAAAAGAAAAAAAAACTGATTAAAAATACGTATTATGCTTTTTTACGTTATCCATATTTTTTAGTTTAACATTTTTTTTTTTTTTTTTTTAAGGAGAATAATATTTTAATATTTATTCATGAAAAGTACATATTATCAATTTATAGGAATTAAAAATACTTATTTTAATTTTATAAGTAATACTATTAAAAGTTTATTTTAAATTATCTTATACCTTACATTTTTTAGATTTTCTGATAATGATTGTATATTAATATTTAAAAAATACGTATCATGTTTGTATGCATTTTAAAATAAAAATGATTAAAAAAAAAAAAAAAAAAATGAATTTAATGTAAATACCTTAATAAATACTGTTGATATTAATAATAAATTTATTAATATTTATTGCTGTAGGTACATCACATTTTTTAGTTGAACTTATGACCTAATTTACGTTGTTTTCTTATAAAATCGTTTTTAATTTATTGCTCTTGTTGGTTATTAGAATAACTCAATTTTTTTATTCAATGTTAAATAGATTAAAAATAAAAGTTATCATTTATTTAGACTCAAAAAGAATAGAAAGAAATTTTAAACTTGGAAATAACTTAAAAGTTACAAGTTACATATTATTTAGGTCATTGTGTAAATGCAGAACAAAATAATTCATGGTCAGTTAAAAACAAAATCGTGAATTTGAAATTATCATTGTTATATGGTGTAATATTTCTTCACGCATAGCATTTAAGTATAAAAAATAAGTTTTAATACTAACGTTATCTACTTGTTAGGGACTATATTCGCAGTAGACGATAGTTGATATTACTATAGTGTATAAGGCATACACCAAAAATCAAATAAAATATTGCCAAAATTGTCTTAACGATGACATACATAAGCGATTGATGATTTTTTTACAATGTTAGTGTTTTGAAAATATTGACCACACTTATTAAGATGTTATTGTTGTATAACAATATGTTGGAGCATTTAATCTGTTTTAAAATGAATGTAGACAGTCATATTTTAATACCGTATAGACTATAGAGTATTAAAATTTAAAAACATTATTAGATATTGCAGATATGTATCTAATAATTTAATTGTATTATGAAGTTAAAGTTAGGTCATTAATGAATGATTCATATAGTAAAAGTTTTAATTAGTTACATTTTGTAAACATTTTTTTAATGAAGGTCCAAAATATAATTGTAACTTATTTAAACTTAATTATTTTTTAATTAAGTTCGATGACAAAGGTGATATTACTAGAAAACTTTAAGCATATGATCGATACACGAAATTATTAATGGAATTTAGTATACTTACTTAACAATAATAACACAAAATATACATTAACACATAATATTTAAAGACGTAATTAATTGAAAACTTCATTGATCTTTTTTTAAATTAAAAAAATATTACGTATTTATAGTAAAATATAACCTGTAAGGAATCAATTAATATCTGTTAGCATCTTATAATTATTACTATTCTACGTATATATAAAAATAATTGATGAATGAGTAAAAAATAAAATAATTTTAATATATATATATATCTTGATTCATGTTATCTTTCTTTTATTTGTCATTTATCAAACCTACTCATTGTACAAAGAATGTATTTAGATTGTAGATTTATTTCAATTAAAAAAAAAAAAATGTATACATATCTATAAATATGACTTACTTGTAGTACAAATCTCATTATTTTTATGTATGATGTTTATCGATTGGAATAATTAACTGTTAATTATTAAAACACACACACACACACACAAACACACGCACACACACACGCACACACGCACGTATACCTACACAGATGTATAAAAGTAAAATTTTACAACTATGTTCTATCAAGTCCGACGAGTACTAACCATAAAACGATACAAACAGTATTTTCACATATGTAAGTCCTATTTATATGTTATGTTTACTTATTATGCAGTTTATAATAATTTAATATTGTGTCAAAAAAACATATTGAAGTCAAATATCATAATATTACGATCCCATGGTGAACACTGAACAATTGGACAACAACTACAAGGTTGACCCATGGGAACTAGAATAACCCAAGTTTCCGGTACTTCACGTGACGTGATGTAATATCCACATTATTGTACCATTTTGTATAATACGGCACGTATGTGCATGTGTTTATTTTTTGTTTTAGATGTAATGTGGAAATCATTAATAGGTTAATTGGTGGTAATGAGTTCATGAGTAAAATGAATTTAACAGTTTCAAAATATACCGACCACTATTTGCATGTGTGCAACTATTATATTATTATATGATGTTTACATAGCCTTAATAGAGTTTCACAACAAAAGTAGTTGATATATTTTTTTTGAACCTTCCCTTGCCACACTCAATTTTACTCACTATTAATTGTACAAGGTATCTTGTTGTTTTTTTTAAAAAACTTTCGTTTAGATTAACTACTTATCATGTTTAAATATTGTAAGATAAGCTTAATATTGATAGGTACAACTGAATACAATATTAAAAAAAAGTACTGAATAAAAAAATAATTTCAGAGGAAGTATTTCATCGTGAAATTATTATACGTAATACGTACATATTACAAATATTTTTATTATTATTTTTATTAATACTACTTCCAGTGACTTAAAATTTAGTACTGTAATCTACTTTCCAGTAGTTTTGTATTGTGTACCTACGTACAGAACCAACTTTAAGTAGGTATTATAAATAATAATAGTTTATGTATTCCTCTTAGTTTAGTCTTAAAATAAATAAATACTTATAATTAGGGCTAGAATTTTAATGACCTAAAAAAAATGAATCAATAAAAAAAAATGACCGCATAAAATGCTTGAAAAAAAATTATATTAATAAATTAATAAATAATAATTTATATTTTTAAGTGTCCAAATAAATTCATCTTCTGGTATAATGGTCAGCGTTATTTGTTCTGAAATCAATATATTTTGAAATAAAATAGTTCAGTTAGTCCAACGAGTATATTTTATATTGTACAAACGATTGGTATTTTGAAGTATTAAATATTTTTAGAAAATATGTTTACGATTTTATTTTAATGTTGTATCTTTATATGTTTGTACAATAATTTATAACGACTATTTAAAAAATTTATTTAAAGATTTATAAAAATATTACTCAGATTTTAATAAAGTATAAAAAATGCCCGTAAAATTGAAAAAATGACCTAAAAATGCTAAAAAATGACCTCAAATTAAAAAAAGTACAAAAAATGCAAAATAAAAGCTATATATTTAAACTTGTATAGATGACAAAATCATATTTTATACTTGAAAAGCTTTATCCTGTAAATCCTAAAAAAAAAAAAATACAAAATCCTTTACTATCCTAGCCTTACTTATAATATATGATACCTACAGAATTACTATGTAACCACAATCTGCAGATAGGTATTTTAGTACTTACAATAATAAATATTATATTATTTGAAGTAGCACCAGTAGTCTTCAACAAAATATATGGCGCTGTATCGTGAATAAGGCTCAAGATAATTTGTGCAGATAAAAAAAAAACTCAGTAGAATTTATCACAGTAATATTAATGTATAGCACAAGTAATACTATCATATTATGATTACAAACAAAATAATGTAATCATATTATGCAATATAACAGATTATATGTCTGGAATTTATTAACTTTTTTATTGATCATATAAAAACTCACAATTGTCATTAGTGACAATTTAAATTGAGTTTGAAGTATTTACAGTTTTTACAGATATTTTTATTTTTTTATATATAAATAGTACAACATTAAAGAAAAGTATGATTACCTATACATTGTATATAAAACTAGTTGACATATTATTGTTAGATTTAATTGTAAAGACCTGTTGATTTCAAACATTTTATCGCCTCAGTATTCTCTTCGGTTTTGTGGGTCTCAGTGCAACGTCAAGGGTCGTGTCTAACTGGATGATTTGTCGATCGTATTCATATTTGAGGCTTCGGTTGTGATATGTTTCACTGTTAATTGGACATCACAAACTTCGCATGCGAGGAATTCTTCCTTTTCCATTAGGTATCCGTGTATAAGTCACGTATGTCCAATTTAATGATTGACATGTAGGTACTTACTACTTGGTGGCATCGGCATGCATCATAGAGAACTTATTTTTACCTCCAAGGACAATATTTGTTTATTAGTTCAATATCATATTTTATCATGTACATTGTCATATAATCCTTCAAATTTCTACGCTAATTGAGTACTAACACATAAACTTTATACAATGTGTAGTAGAGTTATTTACCAGTACACATATTATTATATTAATACTGTAAGTTCTCCTTTTTTAATTTTATTTTCATTTGGTGCATTAAATAACAATTTCTAGGAATAACGATGGATACATTTGTTCAAAAAACAGAGATATTTAAAATATTATATTTTTTCAATGTTTATTACACAATAAGTATTATTATTTATGAAATCGGTACAAATACTATAAAAAAACGTATCTTTTATTGTGAATCTTAAATATATACATAAAGCGTGATTGAGAAGTTTCTAATGATCAACACTCATCGTTGTTATACACAATAAAATCATACATTTTTCATAAAATTAGTTATTATTATACTTTTTTGAATTAAAACTTGTTTACCTTTGAATTTCTCTTTTGTATAAGAATTGTTTCTTCTTAAAAACTAGAAAGTTTCCAACTAGGTACTTTCATATAGTATTATAATTTATAAGATTTTCAACAAACTTTTTTATTATACATGAAATTTGCATTGAATATTTAAACAGTGTTTTTTATTTTTAGTATCACGTCATTATTTATTTCTGAACAACAAAATGTATTTGTTTTTACATACCTAATTGTTATTCATACGTATATAATGGAACAAGGGTAATATAGTATCATTACTATTTGTGAAATATAGAATAAATAGATGATTTTTATTTCATGAAAAAATGCATGTTTTGAGGTAAAAAAATATTTTGGAGATACTAAGTGGCAATTTATTTTTAAATATAAGTAATATCTTAGAAAAAAAAAATTCAAAATTCAAAATTCAAAAAAAAAAAAACTAGAATAAAAGATCTTGAATATTATACTATAAATTCTCAGAAAAATATTAGAATAGAATTTGAAATATCAAATAAAATATCCAAACAATATTTTATTAATATTATTTTTGACTGATATGCAATTCGCTTTAGTAAATTGGTTGATGTTAAAGAAAATTCAGAATTTATGAGTAGAACATCGTAACATATCATAATAAAAGATCGTGTATACGATATTCATACATCATTATTTACTATATAATATGTATATGTTTATAAAAAAAAAATATCATTTAATAATATTATATTATTTAATTTTAATTTTATTATTATTATTATTATTTTTTTTTTTTTTTTAAATTATTTTTATTTTTATAAAATTGATTTAATCTATTTTTAATATTTGTGTATGTAAATTGTAATTACTATGTTTAATACATTTTAATTTAGGCGTGTTATTGATTATAAATATGTTCGTACTTATCTTATATAATAACTAGTCATAACGTACTCTAAAATTTAAATTAATTGCCATATTGTATTATAAAAATCTTATAATAATTAACAGGTAAGTTAACTGATTTTAATACAATTTTAATTATTATATATTTATAATGTTGTTTATAATTAATATTGTTTCATAAAACTATAAACAAATAATAATAACTATGCTATTTAAACATATACATGCATGTTAATGTTGTAGATTTTTTTTAATTATTCATATATACTTATACGTAAGTTTGTAAAAAAAAATCAAACACATATTTTGAACATATATTTAAAAATAACATAGAAAAATATTAAAAATATACTGTTAGTTCGGTTATTGTTATGAAACATAATTGTATTCCTATGACATTCTAATTATATGTTAAACAAGTTAGAACAATTTTATGTTTTAACAATCAACCTGGTTCTTAATTAACAAAATATAAATAACAAATTAATTAAACTTTGTCATAGTTATTTTTAATACTATTAATACATAATACAACAATATTAACGTTTTTGCGTCAGTTGTAACACACCCGTTTTAATCATCCGTTTTTGATTAATTTTAAAGATTTATATGTTATATATATATATATACTTTAATATTATAAATATCGCTGTATATTATAATATATTTTTACAGGAATAACATTTTTATAGGTAATATTCAAAGAAAATAAATGCTAAATTAGATGACTATGTAAAAATATACTGTGTCATCTTAACATGGAATTGTATTTTCAATATCACCAATTATATGATATAGCCATTTATCAAATAATTAAACACCAATAACGATGATTGTCTATGAAACCCTACAAACTACCTACTATAGTGATGGTTTATAGTTAATATTTTAATGTAATTATATCTTTTATTTGTAACTATGTTTTATGATTGGTATTTTATGTTTTTATAGGACGTGTTGAACTAAAAGTTTCTCTCTTAGAGTGGTTTTGATATGAAATTACAAAATTAAATTATTTGTTGTTTTTTCATAAGATTATTTATAGTAAAACACCATATTACACATTTTGTTTGATATTTTATTGTTTTAGATTAATTTTAAATTATTTTATAAAATTTGATCCATAAAATAATAACAATTATATTATGTATTACATGATAATAAATAAAAGACATTTTTTCTAAAACCTATATAAAGATGATTATCTATCATTTTTTTTCTTTTTTTTTTTTTTTAGAAAAAATATAGAAATGAAATAATAGTAATAATATAGTTTATTAGTTTTTAAATAAATGCTAACTAACGATTTTTACGAATTTAATAGTTAAAATTGTTCTTAATATTGTATTATAAATTTAAAAATAATAAGACATAGGTGACAATTCAATAATTTTTTAACATTAAAAATACGTATATTGATCGCATGTAGTACTGATTACCAGGTGGGTATA